GTATACACAAGTGACATAGGTAAGAACTGAAGTGAGGGCAGTGTAAATGTTACCCCAATTTGTGGTATGTGTTTGTGGGYGCCATAGGTGGTTCTTGTACATCTTATTAGTTTCTGTTTTCTTCCATTTGTGCTTTCTGTGTTCGAAATTTGCAGTGATACAGTACCAATTTTTTGCCCATATATAATCCAGTTTAGTTGATTTGTACTACTGCCCGGTCAGTTTCTGCAGCAAGAAGAGAAATATGTGTGTTCTTCTTGAAAATATTGAAAAAGGACCATTTAGTTAGAGGTTTGGTAATGATCAGAAACAGATAAATTCAGGAAAATGGCAAAATTAGGCATACTTGCTGATGTGGTTTGACACTGCCCAAATGCGAGGCACCCACAGCAGCTGCTCACTTGCTCTCCCCTGCCACAGCTGGGCAGAGGAGAGGAAAAATAAACTTAATGAAGGGTTARTGAGATAAGGACCAGGAGAAAACACTCCAAGGGCAGAACAGGCTCAGCTTAGAGTAATGAAGTGATTTTATTACTAACAGGATCAGAGGAGGATAATGAGGAGCAAAATAATCCCTTAAAACACCGTTCTTCCCCCCACAACCCCTCCATCCTTCTCACCAACAGTGCAGAGAGCAGGTCATGGAGGGTTTGGTCAGTTCATCACTGAGATCTTCTTCCACTGCTCAGGGAGAGAGGAGTGCATCCCCTGCTGCACCATGGGGTCCTTCCCATGGGAGACAGTCCTTCTGAAGCTGCTGCAGTGTGGGTCACTCATCCGCAGGGTGCAGCCCTCCAAGGACAGGCTGCTCCAGCCTGGGAGCAAGGGCGCCTGTCTCCACCGGGTCTCCCACTGGATCACAGCCTCCTSCAGGCAYTCACCCACTCYRRCAAGGGCACCTCCTCCACRGGCTGTGGGATGTCCCTGTGGAMCTCCATGGGCTGCAGGGGCACAGCTGCTTCACTGCAGAGGAATCTCGGCTCCAGTGCCTGCAGCACCTCCTCCCCCTCTTCTCCACTTACCTTGATGTCTCCATGTTGTTTCTCTCACATGTTCTCACCTCTTCCTCTTCWCTGGCTAGGAAAAAACTTTGCTGCTCCTTTGTTTTGGTTTTTGCCTTAAATATGTTATCACAGAGGTGAACGCGCATCTCTAACTGGCCCAGGCTTGGCTCAGCAGCGTGTCCATCTTCAGAGCCACCATAAATTGGCTCTGCTGGATATGGTGGAAGCGTGTAGCTGCTTCTCGCAGATTCCATCTCTGTGCCTGCCCACCCCGCCACCAAAAACCAGGCCATGCAAAATGAACACACTTGCTAACAATGAGAAATGAAGAAAATGGTTCCCAGGATGTGAATATAATCCATACAACTGGAACAAAGTGAAAAGTAAAAATGATGTGTACATCTGTTTTATAGCTGGGCCTGAAAGATTTTAGTATTTTATTAACAAAGACCTTAGGAATTTTTTTTAAGTTTTCTTCACAAGTTTGATGGTTATGAATTGAAGTGGTAGATCTGCAATTCTGCCAGTTTAAAAGATTGTCATTAYTCACACTGATACCAAACTCACAGATTTTTGCCCCATGCATCATTAATGTGGGTTAAAGTCTGTTGGAAGAATGGTTTTAATGGATAATGATCTTCTAGCTATGTACAGACATCATTGATAACCGTTGTGGCAGCAACCAAGAACAGTGAGATGTTTCTAGTTTCACAGTACTCTTTGAGTTTCCTGATTGGTGTCTTCAAATGAATGGTCCCTTGTGTCGTAGTCAGGGTGAACTGCAAATCATTCAGTGCAGTGTAATTTTTGGCATTTCAGTGAACTAGGGTAAAAGTATTTTGCTTGTCTTATTCAGAGATTAATTCTTGCATTTTTCATTAATCTCTCTGTCACTTATAAAAAGTAATATGTCTTTTCAGAGTTATCTGTTCAAAGAACATAAGCATTTTTACAAGAAAAGTAATTTCCTAGCAGTGTTGCACTTTTCCCCCCATAGTTCTTCCGTCTTTATTTTGGCACTTTCATCCATGTTCACCAGTTTCCTTACATTGTTTTTCTGTCAGGGCCTGCAATTGCTCAGTTAAATTTGTGTGAGATCTGCCTATAGCTGTTTTGTATCCACGAAGAGATCCTATCTCACTCTCCCAACTTAATGTATCTTTTCATCTTTCAGACAAAGCCATGTCGTTTTATGAAACAGTGGCACAGAAACTCATTTCTATGCTTTTAATTTGCTCTTGTGAATTCTGATCTGGTAAATAGTGAGGAGACAAACCTGGAATTCATGCAGTCTAAATAAATATAATAATACAAGGTTCATAAACACAATTGTGGTTTTTAAGTTACTGGCATTTCTGCTTTATAAGTTACTTTGTAAATCAGATTAATATTTAGATTTAAATGAAGCAGAASCATTTCTGGGTTGCCCGCTTATTTATCACAAATTGCTTTATATTTCAGAAGTATAGATGCCACAATGAGTRTATTAGAAATATCATTTGCAGGACTTTGTTTTCAAACCATGATATTCAACTTCAAGCACATCAGAATTGTTGGTTTTGTAAATTTTAGGTGGCTCCTAAAGCTGGATCTGAGGCCTCTGGACAGTGAAGGGCAAAGTTAAAACCTGTATACTGGCATAAGGAGTTGAGGGTGTAAGGGTGGCAGATTCTGTATTTTGTAATAACATTACTTTGCATGCAAAGCTGTGCTTCTTTCTTCTTACATCTTCTGCAAAAGTAACTGTAAATACGTAGTTTGATGCCATGATGTTAGCAAAAATAATGAAACTGAAATTAAAATAGGAGAAAGAATAAATGCAATATAGATTCTGGTGTTCTGAAAACATTTATGTGATTCCTTAACTAGTGATTAAACACAGAACAAAATAGATACATACTTTGAAAAGAAGATCCACACAGGGATTTCTATTTCCTTTCACATATTCCAGCTATTCTCCTTTATGAAAGGATGGGGTTTTAGGTTTTAGATGTTTCTCTGAAGTTGCACATATGAATAAAATCAAAAGGGACTGCACATGCCTAACTGTGATTCACAAGAAAGTTACCTGTCGAGGGAGTGCTTATAGCTGAGGCAGAAGCTCCTTAGACTTCTCCAAATTGCTTGGCAAACCCTGCAGCCAACAGAAGTGCTAAAGTGGAGAATGACTTTTAGCTGGCTGAGGTGTAAGTGGGTGATATTAATTGCTCGTAACTCCTGGAGATTTAAGTCAAGTCAATTCAAAACTGTTGCAACACCTTAGCTAGAGACCAATGATCGCTTTTCACTTAACTATTTCATATTTTGTTATCCATTCTTTCTAACAAGTTATACTTAAACCTCCTTCATTCCTGTGCAATTCGAAACACATTGTTCCTTGCAGAACTATTCATTTCATATAGTGCATAGAATATGAAATGTAAATAATATTTTCCTCTCTTTAATTAGGATGTTAAGTCTTAACTAAAGAAAAAGTCTACATTGATTTTCCTTTACATATGATTCTTTTTATAACTGTGAATTTATACAATATTCTTAGGGATGTCTTGGAGTTTTCATGTGTAGAGGAAAATTGTTTAACAGCCACTGCTGTTCTTCCAAAGTAGTCCAAGTAGACGGGAGGGGCGGGAAAAAAAATCAATGCACCCAAATAAGGTCGTCTGCCCATAACATTAGGACAAAGACATAGCCCTATTCCAAGGTGTAGAATATAGCACAACTTATTACAGCAATCCAAATGAATTTTGGTAATATAAACATTGGCGTGAAATGACTGTGGTCCTATCCATACTGCATTCAAACAAAGGTAAAAGCATTTCAGTCTGGATTAAATAAAATGCTGTCTGTTTTTAATGTTGTTTGGCTAGCCAGTGAGGACCGTAGTATTCTGACCTGTTTGAAAGGCAGGTTCTAGTAGACAATAGAAAGTGTTTATCTGGTATGATTTCTCAGTGTTTGCTCTGATCAATGCTAGCTGCACATGTTGTGACAGAARCTCCTTTTTTCTGCATTCAGGCATAAACATTGTTTTCAAATTTATTTCAAAGAACATTTTATTTGGCTAAGTTTTGGGTCTTGATGTGATTGTCTGTGCTGAACATTGTTTCTCATTGTCCTTAAAATAATTATTTCCAGCATTTTCTGTGSAAAATAGAAAACAAAGAATGCCTAGATAGACCAAGCACCTTTTCTGTATTACTTCTCTGCTGATTTTGTCTTCATTTAATAGACCATGTTTTCTTGAGTACCTCAAAATATTTCTCATCACTTGCCCTCAGAACTGACCTACTGACCTGAGAATCAAGAAAATGTCACGTTAGTGACTACTAATTAGTGGATCCAGAGAGCTGCTTCTTCTGGCCTTTCAACCTTCCAGAGGCAGCAACAAAAGCTGTCACATGTATCATACAAAGAAAACAAGCATTTGCCATGTTTGCCTTTTATTTTGCTTTTTCCTAGAGCATACACAGCACAAGTACAATTGAGACTAGAGATGAATTTGTAGGTTAGGAGGAAATTAATCTACAATATAGTGTTTGCATTTATTTATCCATTTCCATGCGTAACATAATGCATATATTATATGGCAATTACTGAATATGTGAATGTATTAGTGTGCTGTATTGTAAGAGGAAAATAATTACATTTTATTTCTCCTCTTCTTGGTTTTTTTTTTCTGCTTCTACCATTCTTTTTTAATTACTTCAAAATGTGTTACATCTTTCTGAAAGGAGATATTTTAATGCTTAGCTTTTAATGTAATGCATGTAATCCAAGCTTAAGCTGTCTTTTTATGTTTGTTGAACAAACTTGTTACCAGAAGGTTCACCCGTATTTACCATTAATCATTGTTGTACTTCTACAACTGATAAGGCACCTTGGGTTTTTTGGGACTACTTACTAGAATGACTGTGGTAAAATGTGCAGCTATAGCCATATCACTGAACTGTTTGTGCAATTAACATTACTCTATTTTTTATTATTTATAATTTTCAGGTCTTTAAAATAGAAGTGCTGATGAGTGGAAGGAAACATTTTGTGGAGAAGAGGTATAGTGAATTCCATGCGCTTCATAAAAAGGTACTGATCTTTTTCTTTGCAAGTCGTAGCTTTGCTTTGCCTCAGTCATATTTTCTTCTCTCTTACATACATCTTGTGATTCATGCCTCTGGAAATTAATTTCTTACTAACTCAATTTCTTCTCTTTTTTGTAGAGGGGAGTGATGATTTCTCACATGTTACTAAGTCTTTTTTCATTTTGATTATGCTGTATGGCTAAAATGCTGTCTGTGGTATGTTTTTGTCCTCTTGTAAAGTCACAGAATAAGTCACATTCCAAACACAAATAAATACAGTGGGGGGTTTTATTCCAGTTGAGCAAATAATGTGTTAGTTCTATAAATTGTATTGCTAACCTTCCATGAGTAAAGCTGAGGAAACAACTTTTGTACATGAGGAAGCCAGACACAAAAATGACTGAGTAAGCCATCTCAGCGTAATATAGAATATCTGCTAAGCTTGTCTACTGAATCATCTTAGTAACACATAGAAGGAAACTCTGTACTTTCAAGGCTGGTTATCTACTAATTCTTCTTTAAATTGCTTTGACCGATGTTGAAAAAAAAAAAGTATGATTTCTTCTCTCCAAGCTGAACTGAATGCTGCTGTGAAATTGTGCAGCTGAAAGGCAAGCTTCACCTTTTTTTCTGCTTGAGGTCACCCCTCAGCATCTTTTCCACCAGGCTAAGCAAACTCACTATCCTCATCCACTCTCAACATGTGTCTGCTGAGCACCTGCAGATGGGTCTTTGACAAGCAGAAGAGAAGAAATGCCAACACCAAGGCTGGATCTGGAAGATAGAGAAGAAAGCCTGTGGTTGTGGGCAGAAGCCTTTCCCAGGCTGCCCACCATCTGGGCAGCTGCCTCATGCACCTGTCCCTTTGCAGGGGCAAGACTTWGAACTTCCCTTTCCTGGGGCTCCTGCCATGGCAGGGTGTGACTCTGGGGTGATGTAAACAGCAGCACCAAATTGTGAGTCCAGGCAGGAGGAGAGATTTGGGTGCCACCATAGCAAGGCTGCACCAGGTAGGAGAGCAGAACCCAGGTACATGGGGCAGAAGGTACAGTGAAGAGGAGACAGGCCTGAGGTGATGAGTGGTGAGTCATGGGCAGACCCAGGAGGGTGAGTCAGGCTGGAAACCCCTGTCCCAGGACCAGCTGCAGAGATGCAGGCATGGAGCTGGGCAGTACTTGCCTTTAGGGGAACAATGAGACAGGATCTGGCACAAGTAGAAGAACCCATCAGAATAAACATTCCATCCTACCCAGCAAAAAAAGCAAAAACGGTTAAGGATACAATTTACACTGTTAGTAACACAGAGACTTTTCCTGTAGTTTTTGTGTATTTATTTTATTTGGGTAGCTGGGGCTGGGAGCTTTTGAGGGCTGGTACATGCCATAGCTGATGGCCCAGTGCTCCAGGATGATGGAGGTCACGGGCAGCTGGAAGTCGCAGAGCCACTCTCACCTGGTGGATGTCTCATGTTGCAGGGGTGTGATGACATGCTCCACACAGTCATCATCCACCTGCAACAATTGCAAGACTTACAGTATTCTCCTCTTGCAGAAGTACTTGGACTTTTTCTCAGCCCATCGCAGGATGGTGGCAGAAATGGTGGAAGCACCRCATCATATAACTGGCCTTCTCCAACTCTCCAGACAGATGAAACAGCAGTTGCCAAACTTCACTGTAATTTCTGGAATAGCACAATTAGTCAACATGAAAGTCACAAATGACTGCAGTCTTGTTCTTTAGCATCCCTTTCACTGCAATAACTCCCTCTGTAGAGATTTCTTTCTAGAACAATAGAAAAAATCACAAATGATACTCCCTTTCTCTCCAGAAATAGCAGCAAAATAAACAAACCTGAAAAACAGATATTCTAACCAGGCTCTTTGCACCATGTTTCAATTTGTTTCATTTTCACATTCACTTGCTGTCTATTTATATTACCCTGAAAATTGATAGAGACCTCTCTGCACAAATGCAAAACAWGTAACATATTATGGCAACAATATACCTTTTTATTAAGTCTTACTTTCTGAAGTGTAAAATTTCAGTCAGTGTGGTTGAACAGCTTGTGCACTGAGTCTCTTAGTACTTTAAGTGTTACAGAAATCCTAGAGAAAGCATTTGCATCAGTTTGCTATCAGCATGCCAATATGGTATTTATCTTCTGTTCCTCTCTTCTCCTTTAATTTAAAGTGTATGTTTCATTCTAAATTGCTGTGAGTACATGACAATTGGAAAGGTCTCTTTAGACTTGCTGCATATTCAAGGTGCCCTTAGTGTTAGAGATGTCTGTAGTGAGTAGGAAAAACAAGGCTGCTGTAGAGAACAACTGCGGTAGGAAATGGACATAGAGGCTGATGAGGATACCTTGCCTTTTGCTGGAGAAGAGCATGCTTCACTGGCGTTGTGTGGAGGAAGGAGGACTCTAGCTCATAGAAAACATTATTCATTCATCAGAATGCCAATTAATGTTTTGATTAATTATAATTTTTAATCAAAGCCAATTCTAGGGACACATCTGGATTTCCCTCTTTCTTGGGTTCAATCTTTCATAGATCCTAGTTGTGTAAAAGAGTAAAGCTCTACTTCCTGTTCAATATGTCTGCAGTAGAAAAGGTTTAAAATCTTTTCAAGACTACCATGTCACATCATGAGTACAAATTATTCTTTTGACAGAAGCACCCACAGCTGCTGCTGTCTATGAAATAATTTGCATAGGCCATTATGCTTTGACCTGATTATGAACCACAAACCTTTCCTGTCAGGCTGTACACATGTATATGTACTGTATAATATGTAAATCTGAACAAAAGAGTTATTATACCCACGTGGAAGGGATTTTTGGAAGGAATTGATTTGTTTGTAGGTGCTTAACAAAGTTCAAGATACAACCATTCTTTCATATTATTCCCAAATAACTTTTTGTACTTCTTTTCCTAYACATTATTAAATATTGGTAGTTCTTAAGTGCAATAATGCTAGAAGGTGACAGTGTTACAACTGCAGTGAAATCTCTAAAAATCTGAAGTYTGACATTCTTGCAAGTTGTAATTTTAGAATAACTACTGTATACACTAGATCATATTGTCTTTTCACAATTAGACAAATAACTCTACTTGATAATGTGAGCCATCTTTAAGTTTTTAAGGAAATAGGGACTACAGTATGTCAGTAGTTACAGACAGAAAGATATTATAGGCAATAATAATCCAGATAAATATATTCTGTTTTGTTTAGGGAGAAGTCTGAAGCAATACAGCTAATGCATATGTGGTTTTTCTTAATATTCTTGACATTCTAATTATTATTTGTAGCAATATATATGATTGGAATATTGCAAGCATAAGAAAGCGGGCTTTTAGTATATTCTCTTTATATCTGTGTAATATTGGCATTATACCCACAACCGGCACCTACGCTTGCACATTAGGTTTTGGATGTTTTATATGTAACCRGGTCACAGGGCACAAAAGGATTGTTAATCATCAGCTGAATTACCAGCCACAGAGTATTTATCTTGTAAGCAGCTAGGTCTTGTTGGACACTTGTATAGTTTCAGATTTGCCTGCACTCATCTGGAGCATTCTGCTCATTTGTAGCTTACCCGCAGGTGCTGTTCACAACAGTAGTGACCGTAGTTTCTTCAACCTCTCAGATCAATTTAGAGAGAAAAATGGGGGGGAGGGGTGTATTCTTTCTTTAAGATCAGTCAGTAAATGTACATTGCCTTGGAGTTTTATTTTAGAGTGTTGTTTTTCTCACTTCATGTTTAATTGCAATTTAGCACTGTTAGGAAGTAAGGAAGTTGCAAAATGTTTCCAGAGCAATTGAGCTTTCCCGGCTGCAGCTTCGAAACTTGTGATTGTAGAGACGTTGATGTGTTGCCACTGCTTTTTCCTATAGTGACATCTCAGCAAGCTCAAAGATGAAATGTAAATTCTCAGTCTCCCATGGGTATGCAYGTCAAAGTCAATTTTGAGTTTCTTTCCTTGCATTCTTTGCCTCAGATTTACTCAGAGGCAATATCCAACAGAAAAAATGCCACCTTCTATTAAAATACAATGGAGTCTATTTCAGTTATTATTTTTGCTCTGTAGTTTTGAGGAAAACATTAATATTTTTTGGTTTTAAAAAAATATGTTGCTCCTGGATTCATAGTCTGTCAGGWTGTATATTGGTGTGTATATTGGTCATATACACAAAAACCGCTCCAAACATGTATGTATTTCTATATAGGTGTGTGTATATATATAGATCTATATAGATACATTATAAGCTTTCCTGTGCAAATCTTTAGAGGAATAGTTACGGAGATCTCTTTGAAATATATTCCTTGACAATCTTGCTATTTCTCTGTGTAAAATATTAAACACAGACTGTCAGTCTGTTGGTACAATTTGAGAGCATGGATATTTTTGATTGCCAACTCTCCAGAGAAATTATTAGCTCCTCCATGCACTTCTTACATCTGTTCCTATTTACCTAAATCTGGAGTCAGAAGTTGTCACRGTGTGGTCACTACATTTAGCAAGGTAATATCTGGTTATGTTGTGGCGATGTTCTGAGGTATCAACCCAGGCTGACTAATGGGAAAGTTGAATTTCAATGCTCGTGTAGTGGTTGCCATTTTGTTTTCAGGCTGTTAGTCAGAAAAAATTGTTAGTAGGGTTCCTCTTTACTGTCCAGGGCAACTGGATGTGGACATTTTTAACTGCATCCTGTAGGTATGACATCTGATGTTCTTTTAGTGAGATGGTTGTAAGTAACTTCATTTCCATGCTGTTGTCCTTAATGCTTGGGGTTTTTACATCTCTGACATAAACTTGTTTATTTTAAAGAGACATTATTGTTCTTTGTTTCTGTCTGTGGAAGTTTTTTTTTTKTTTGTTTGTTTTTTTCAGCTCAAGAAGTTCATAAGAACCCCAGAGATCCCTTCAAAGCATGTGAGAAACTGGGTCCCCAAGGTCCTGGAACAGCGACGACAAGGCTTGGAGTTGTACTTACAGGTGAGTCTCCTTGCAGCTCAGTGAAAGTAAAAAAAGCTTCTGTTTCCAGAGCATTAGAAAGTATGAAGTATGGCATTTTACTGATAGGCAATTTTAGAGGTGGGAAATTATCTGGATACTTACGATCAGTGGTGATTTCTGTTTACTTAGCAGGACTAGCACCTAGAAAACCAGTCTATTTTACCTTCTTTACCTGATTTTTGCAAAGGCTGCTAACTGACTTTGGTGAACCTTCATTTTCCTCTGCCTAAAATGGGGAAAATAATGCTAGTCTTTCCAAAGTTGTCCTGTACSAATGTCCTGTTGGTTTGACTGTACCAATCAAAAGTGTTGCAGAAAAATTATAAGGAGTCTTTATTTAACTGACGTCTATTTAGACAGATCAGGGAAACATCAGCTTATCAAATTCATGTCCCGCTGCTGTACATACCTGTACGTAAATTGTTCCTCTAGCTGGAATAGGCATTTGTCATCTCATATTAATCTCAGTTGATTTGGACATTTGCATTTTAAGTCTTAGGTTCTACATAAATGGGTTGTGATTTTGATGAAGATAATAAAAGGAGTCTGCAGGAATGATGCAGTCATATAGACATCTAAATATATCAGGAATAAATCCCATTCATTTTTAAGAAATGGATTTTCTATTGTCACCATGATTGCTTTAAAAAATACCCAGTGGTTCAGGTTCACAGCTATTTCTCTAGTGTCAAAGCCACATGAAGGCATTACTCTAAACATGTTCCCAGTTCATTGCACTTACAGCTGCACTAATGCAAGTGCTATTTTACTGAAGCGGTTCATAGAAATAGTGTGTAAAAACATAATTGTTTTAGGAGGAAGGCAAAAATAAGTCTTCCATTTTCACTCACATCAGTCACTTGGAGTGATTTTTTTTTTTTCTGGTTTCCATACAACTTTTTGGACATAATTGCTACCAAGGCATGTGTATCAATTTGTCTTAAGCAGTTGATTTTCTTAAAAAGATACAGAGGTAATTTGCTTATCACTTTTTAATTACTGATAAACTGTAAAAGAATATCTCCCCCTACTGGAAGAGTTAGTCAACTCTTGTTCTTTTGCAGTCCTGCACATTTAATTAACTCTTCCCCTCTTTTATCACTCTTGGCTGTTGTAGGAACATGCAGTGGTTTAGGTTGGAAGGCACTGCTGGGCATCATCTGTTCAAACATGACAAGCCTCTAAGTTATATCCRTACTAATTTAAACAATCAGAAAAGTCATTAATACTTTGGTCAAAGTTATTAATTTCTCTTTCTGCTAATAGAAAGCAGAATTAATCATCAGTGAAATTTTAACTTTTAAAATAATTAGAGCCTGGTTCTAGACAATGAAAAGTTAATATTACTTCAGTTATGAGATGTTTTTTAATAGTGCCAAGCATTTAGCAAGATACAGTGTAGGAATGTACTTCAATTTCAGAAGACAGTTCTGGCAGTCATTAATTGTTTTGTATAAAACCAGCCAGAACCTTATGCAATATTGAGTAATTACATAGATGCTCAATTAATTAGATGTTCAATTAATTTTTTTTTATCCTGTCATGCAGATGGCTGTGAAATTCAGATCTGTACCTGGCATGGTCTAATCACATTGGGTTATAATATTTTTAATAAGGTAGTATTCTGTAATTAAATACAGATAAAATTATTGACATGAAATGAGAATAGTAGAATCACTCTATTAAGTAATGAAGAAAGCAAGACATTCCCCTGTCGAAGACAGAAGGTGCTGCAATTGCCAGGACCTTGTTACTTCTTTGTGACCTTTTCATGATGAAACCGCCCTTTTAAATCCTTTCAGCACTGGTTGTTTGTTTCTTGGAGTGGATGGACAGGAGCTCAGAAACATTTCATTATATCTTTCTGAAGAGTAGCAAGATTATGAATAAACGAACTATTATTAAATTGTGAACTACAACAAGTAATTTTGTTTTAATGKATCAGTGGTCACTGCCAGCTAATAGTCACCAGATTGTTTATTTTACTTCTATTTTTGAAGGGTTGGGTCAGAGCTTTTTCTTGTTACAACAGACCAATTTTCGTGGAATTTTGAAAGAATGATTTATTTTATATTATTTTTAAGTGACTCTCATATTTTACAAATTTGACTGGAATTTACAACTTTTGTTGTTGTTACTGTGAACAATTGACTAGAAGCACTAATATGCTTAGTAATTCTACTGCATATATAATAATATTTACAGAGTCCTTGTGAATACTGAGAACAATTAACTGACTGACAAGAGGAAAGAAGGATTGTGTTTAAGCTTTTAATGAGGAAACAGATGCAAAGATAAGTGAATGACAGCGYGGTCCCAAACATTCAAGCAAATTAGCATGAAGAAATAAGCTATTGCTCCTCTGCTGATCATGGCAAATATCTCTGTGCATGATCTTAAACTACAGCACAATGGAAGTAAACTAAGCTGGTTTAATCTTTGCTAATTAAGAAAATCACAGAATCACAGTATAAGCTGAATTGGAAGGGACCCACAAGGATCATCGAGTCCAACTCCTGGCCCTGCTCAGGACACCCCAAGAGTCACACCCTGTGCCTGAGAGCATWGTCCTAACACTTCTTGAACTCTGTCAGGCTGGTGCTGTGACCACTTCCCTGGGGAGCCTGTTCCAGTGCCCAAACATCCTCTGGGTGAAGAACCTTTTCCTGATATCAAATCTAAACCTCCCCTGACACAAGTTCAGGCCATTCCCTTGGGTCCTGTCACTGTCACCACAGAGAAGAGATCAGTGCCTGCCTCTCTGCTTCCCCTCACAGGATGTTGAAGACAACCATGAGGTCTCCCCTCCATCTCTCTCCTCTAAATCTCAAAAAACTTGTTACTGCCAGTAGAAGAGCATTAAACCAGCTTTTATTATTTTGTGGTTGCTATCAACTATGTAACTTTGTAGCTACTTGCTTGTATTTCTGACCTGGTAGCTTGCAGTAGAACAGAGATGAGAATCCAGGTGGCTTTGATTCAAAATTTGTAAAATAAATCACTGGATTACACATTAATGACAAAAATCTCTCTTGATAGTAGTTTTACACTGCGGCAAGATTTGAACTTAGACAATATTTATTTATGGTTAGAGATATCTTCTCTTGATGAATTTTCTGAAGAGTTTGATATTGAGGAAAGGTAGAAGATAAGGATTTTAAGCAGCTGTTTGTATAAGGAGTCTATAATTTGARAAGGACTGCCAAAAGGACCTGCACTTAAGTCTGTGACTCCTCATCGTGGTGAGCATGAATTAATGTTTGCTTGAAAGTAACTGAAGGTGAGGTAAATGATAACCAGCATGATACCTTCTGTTGGTGTTTGTTTGCTGTGGGTTGTTTTTTTATCCACTGTCCAACCTTGGACTGACTGTTGCCACAAAGCAATACAGAAATATTATTTGATTTGTATGTGTATTTAGAGAAGACATAAATCACTTGAAAAGCTCCCTCTTCTGCAGTTTTTACCGTGTATGAGTTCAATAAGTCATTTTGTAGATRGACAAAGTGAACAGGTAGTTGGGGTCTTATTTTGGACATTGAAGATATTGTTGGGATTCCTAAGGGTGGCACTGGAAGGACCTTAYCTAATTGGCTATTGAAGCAGCTGCTACTGCATTAGATCGGATCAGTATTTGTTACAGATATATTTGATATGATKTACTATTGGAGGAGCAATTTTTACAAAGCTTATTTCCTGTGAATTGGTAATGGGGAAGAATTTGATCCAGCCACTTACTCATTTGGAGTTAGGTCATATCCTTGTCCCAGTAAACTGACACTGGATGTTATTGCCATCCAGTCTGTCTGCCCCAGGGACTTGCCCTTTGACAGGTCTTTCTTTTAAAGTTCAATGGAATAGATATTTTCTAACCCCCTCGGGCAGAAGAAATCTCATCATTTGCTGATATCATCAGACCAACAAGATAACAAGTATCGTTAACAGAAATCGCTGTGAAGTAGCACCCACACCTCAGCATTTGTAGCTGAGCTACAGCACCCACAGTTTGTAGCTGCTGCTAGTCTTCACTGAAATGATTTGCTTACAGGGAGAGATTTTGAAGGAGACCCATTTTTTATTAGTTTCAGGGTACTAACTTATTTCATGTGGTCTGGGTGACCTGAAGAAATTCTTCTTGTGACTGGCAAGGCTCTAATATAAAACAGAGAGTTGTAGACCTTCTGAAGTGCTCTGTATATATGTAGGGTCTATATGTACATACATCTCTAACCAGAGTTAATATGTAGAGCTAATATTTCTCTCTTGGCTGAGGTCAAGAAAACATACTTGCCTTTTATTTATTCTTGAACTTTTTACAAAAAGAACGGTCCTGATTCCTGGAGATAAGATTGGTTAAAGTGCTGCTTGGCTGTGAGACGTGAAGACTTGATGAACTTCAACATTCCAGCGGTTTCAGGAATCCAGATCTTAAATATGAATTATGGCATTTATGAAACTGGACTAGAGATTTGTTTTCCATTTAAGGAAATAATCTGGAGATCTGAGAAGCACTTTGCCCTATATTTCAGTAGTCTTCAAAATGCAATTCTCTTTAGAAATATTATAACTACCAATCCTTCCTGAAAAAGATAAGTAAAACCATATCTGTTATGATTTTGCTCTTAAGAAATTAAAATCCAGTCCCATACTCCTTAGCTGTCTTAGTTTCCAGCTGGGTGGAGTTAGGAAAACAGYGGATGGAGTAATGAATAATGTGTAATTGCTTTATGAGTAAGTTCATCAGAAATATGAAAAAGAAAAGCACACATTATTAYATTGCATTTTTTTACTCTTTTTGGGGGAACAGTTCAACAGCAACTGCAAAAAAAATGCCAGACAAATCAGCTATTTCTGTAGTTAGTGACTGCAGTGGAAAGACTGTCACACAGAAAATTTGGCTCAAGGCATCATTTCTTCATGGGTCACTATGATTTTCTTTAATTACTTCAATAAGCATTGATAAAAAATTCCTTGTGGTA